ACTGTCCCAAGTCTAGAGGAACACCAACTTCAGCACAGCAACTCGAGGAATGCTCCGTGTACCCCAAATCATCTCGAGATGAGAGCTGATTCCCTGGCTTAGGCTCAAGACGTATGCCAACTTTCCAGAAGCACCTCAGGAGGAGGCTTCTCTCAGCAATAGTTATGTGGGAGGGACCCCGAGTTTGCTGCCTCAAGGGGAATACACAGGGAGAAGCCCTAATGTGAACGGAGGCCAGATTTCCTTGCAGTGGTTTGAATACAGGCTCGTCTTTGATCTGAAAACATGAAGGAATGTCTGAATCCCCTGTGGAGACCTTAGAGGAAGCCCTAGGTCCCTGCCTCATTTTGACGGAATACCTCACATCCCCGACACCTCCAGAGGCACGCGGAGTTCATTGCTTCAAAAGGTGACGATGCCTGACTCCTCTTGAATACTGATAGGAATCCCAAAATCCCTGTGGCTACTGAAAAGGGTCCTTGGGTGCCCTGACTCACCTCGAGAAGCGTCCCTTTTGCCCTGCCAAGCCTCGAAGAGATTCCTGAGGTGTCCCTCGTTACTAGGCAGGAGTCCTGACGTCACTGGAGAAACTCGTGTTTTGACGGGCCATCCCCGCTATAAGTCGAGAACATACCCCAGGTGCCCGCCGCAACTCGAGAAAAACCGTGAGACTTCCCCCTAGAGGCGAGATGAGGCCCCATTCCCCTGCAGTGCATGCAGAGCTATTCCGTGATCCCCTTCAAACAAGTCAGGAGCTTCGACTTGCTTAATGGACCTCGAGACAGTCCCCAAGAACACTGTCACCAGTCTAGACAGACCCTGAGGTCACCCAGCAATGCAAAGCAGCTCCATGTGCCCCAAATCAACTCGAGATGAGGCCGGATTCCCCTGCATTGACTCCAGAGCCATTCCCTGTTCCCCATTCAACACGACCGGTGGCTCGACTTCCTTCAGGCAACTCCAGAGATGCCCCGAGAACACTGTCCCAAGTCTAGAGGAACACCAACTTCAGCAAAGCAACTCGAGGAATGCTCCGTGTACCCCAAATCGTCTCGAGATGAGAGCTGATACCCTGGCTTAGGCTCAAGACGTATGCCAACTTTCCAGAAGCACCTCAGGAGGAGGCTTCTCAGCAATAGGTATGTGGGAGGGACTCCGAGTATGCTGCCTCAAGGGGAATATACAGTGAGAAGCCCTAACTTGAAAGGAGTCCGGATTTAAAAGCAATAGATTGAATACAGGCTTGTCTTTCATCTCACAACTTGAAGGGATGTCTGAATCCTCTGTGGAGACCTTAGAGAAAGCCCTAGGTCCCTGCCTCATTTTGACGGAATGCCTCACATCCCGCTGACACCTCGAGAGGCACGCGGAGTTCATTGCTTCAAAAGTTGACGATGCCTGACTCCTCTTGAATACTGATAGGAATCCCAAAATCCCTGTGGCTACTGGAAAGGGTCCTTGGGTGCCCTGCCTCACCTCGAGAAGCGTCCCTTTTGCCCTGCCAAGCCTCGAAGAGATTCCTGAGGTGTCCCTCGTTACTAGGCAGGAGTCCTGACGTCACTGAAGAAACTCGTGTTTTGAAGGGCCATCCCCGCCGTAAGTCGAGAACATACCCCAGGTCCCCGCCGCAACTCGAGAAAAACCATGAGACTCCCCCCTAGAGGCGAGATGAGGCCCCATTCCCCTGCAGGGCATGCAGAGCTATTCCGTGATCCCATTTAAACAAGTCAGGAGCTTCGACTTGCTTAATGGATCTCGAGACAGTCCCCAAGAACACTGTCACGAGTCTAGACGGATCCTGAGGTCACCCCAGCAACGCAAAGCTGCTCCATGTGCCCCAAATCAACTCGAGATGAGGCCCGATTCCCCTGCATTGACTCCAGAGCCATTCCCCGTTCCCCATTCAACAAGACCGGTGGCTCGACTTCCTTCAGGCAACTCCAGAGATGCCCAGAGAACACTTTCCCAAGTCTAGAGGAACACCAACTTCAGCACAGCAACTCGAGGAATGCTCCGTGTACCCCAAATCGTCTCGAGATGAGAGCTGATTCCCTGGCTTAGGCTCAAGACGTATGCCAACTTTCCAGAAGCACCTCAGGAGGAGGCTTCTCAGCAATAGGTATGTGGGAGGGACTCCGAGTTTGCTGCCTCAAGGGGAATATACAGCGAGCAGCCCTAACTTGAAAGGAGTCCGGATTTCCATGCAATAGATTGAATACAGGCTTGTCTTTCATCTCACAACTTGAAGGGATGTCTGAATCCCCTGTGGAGACCTTAGAGAAAGCCCTAGGTCCCTGCCTCATTTTGACGGAATGCCTCACATCCCGCTGACACCTCGAGAGGCACGCGGAGTTCATTGCTTCAAAAGGTGACGATGCCTGACTCCTCTTGAATACTGATAGGAATCCTAAAATCCCTGTGGCTACTGGAAAGGGTCCTTGGGTGCCCTCCCTCACCTCGAGAAGAGTCCCTTTTGCCCTGCCAAGCCTCGAAGAGATTCCTGAGGTGTCCCTCGTTACTAGGCAGGAGTCCTGACGTCACTGAAGAAACTCGTGTTTTGAAGGGCCATCCCCGCCGTAAGTCGAGAACATACCCCAGGTCCCCGCCGCAACTCGAGAAAAACCATGAGACTCCCCCCTAGAGGCGAGATGAGGCCCCATTCCCCTGCAGTGCATGCAGAGCTATTCCGTGATCCCATTCAAACAAGTCAGGAGCTTCGACTTGCTTAATGGATCTCGAGACAGTCCCCAAGAACACTGTCACCAGTCTAGACGGACCCTGAGGTCACCCCAGCAACGCAAAGCTGCTCCATCTGCCCCAAATCAACTCGAGATGAGGCCCGATTCCCCTGCATTGACTCCAGAGCCATTCCCCGTTCCCCATTCAACAAGACCGGTGGCTCGACTTCCTTCAGGCAACTCCAGAGATGCCCAGAGAACACTTTCCCAAGTCTAGAGGAACACCAACTTCAGCACAGCAACTCGAGGAATGCTCCGTGTACCCCAAATCGTCTCGAGATGAGAGCTGATTCCCTGGCTTAGGCTCAAGACGTATGCCAACCTTCCAGAAGCACCTCAGGAGGAGGCTTCTCAGCAATAGGTATGTGGGAGGGACTCCGAGTTTGCTGCCTCAAGGGGAATATACAGCGAGAAGCCCTAACTTGAAAGGAGGCCAGATTTCCTTGCAGTGGCTTGAATACAGGCTCGTCTTTGATCTGACAACATGAAGGGATGTCTGAATCCCCTGTGGAGACCTTAGAGAAAGCCCTAGGTCCCTGCCTCATTTTGACGGAATGCCTCACATCCCGCTGACACCTCGAGAGGCACGCGGAGTTCATTGCTTCAAAAGGTGACGATGCCTGACTCCTCTTGAATACTGATAGGAATCCCAAAATCCCTGTGGCTACTGGAAAGGGTCCTTGGGTGCCCTGCCGCACCTCGAGAAGCGTTCCTTTTGCCCTGCCAAGCCTCGAAGAGATTCCTGAGGTGTCCCTCGTTACTAGGCAGGAGTCCTGACGTCACTGGAGAAACTCGTGTTTTGAAGGGCCATCCCCGCCGTAAGTCGAGAACATACCCCAGGTCCCCGCCGCAACTCGAGAAAAACCGTGAGACTTCCCCCTAGAGGCGAGATGAGGCCCCATTCCCCTGCAGTGCATGCAGAGCTATTCCGTGATCCCATTCAAACAAGTCAGGAGCTCCGACTTGCTTAATGGATCTCGAGAGAGTCCCCAAGAACACTGTCACCAGTCTAGACGGACCCTGAGGTCACCCAGCAATGCAAAGCAGCTCCATGTGCCCCAAATCAACTCGAGATGAGGCCGGATTCCCCTGCATTGACTCCAGAGCCATTCCCCATTCCCCATTCAACACGACCGGTGGCTCGACTTCCTTCAGGCAACTCCAGAGATGCCCCGAGAAAACTGTCCCAAGTCTAGAGGAACACCAACTTCAGCACAGCAACTCGAGGAATGCTCCGTGTACTCCAAATCTTCTCGAGATGAGAGCTGATTCCCTGGCTTAGGCTCAAGACGTATGCCAACCTTCCAGAAGCACCTCAGGAGGAGGCTTCTCAGCAATAGGTATGTGGGAGGGACTCCGAGTTTGCTGCCTCAAGAGGAACATACATCGAGAAGCCCTAACTTGAAAGGAGGCCAGATTTCCTTGCAGTAGCTTGAATACAGGCTTGTCTTTCATCTCACAACATGAAGGGATGTCTGAATCCCCTGTGGAGACCTTAGAGAAAGCCCTAGGTCCCTGCCTCATTTTGACGGAATGCCTCACATCCCGCTGACACCTCGAGAGGCACGCGGAGTTCATTGCTTCAAAAGGTGACCATGCCTGACTCCTCTTGAATACTGATAGGAATCCCAAAATCCCTGTGGCTACTGGAAAGGGTCCTTGGGTGCCCTGCTTCACCTCGAGAAGCGTCCCTTTTGCCCTGCCAAGCCTCGAAGAGATTCCTGAGGTGTCCCTCGTTACTAGGCAGGAGTTCTGACGTCACTGGAGAAACTCGTGTTTTGAAGGGCCATCCCCGCCGTAAGTCGAGAACATACCCCAGGTCCCCGCCGCAACTCGAGAAAAACCATGAGACTTCCCCCTAGAGGCGAGATGAGGCCCCGTTCCCCTACAGTGCATGCAGAGCTATTCCGTGATCCCATTCAAACAAGTCAGGAGCTTCGACTTGCTTAATGGATCTCGAGACAGTCCCCAAGAACACTGTCACCAGTCTAGACGAACCCTGAGGTCACCCCAGCAACGCAAAGCTGCTCCATGTGCCCCAAATCAACTCGAGATGAGGCCCGATTCCCCTGCATTGACTCCAGAGACATTCCCCGTTCCCCATTCAACAGGACCGGTGGCCCGACTTCCTTCAGGCAACTCCAGAGATGCCCCGAGAACACTGTCCCAAGTCTAGAGGAACACCAACTTCAGCACAGCAACTCGAGGAATGCTCCGTGTACCCCAAATCATCTCGAGATGAGAGCTGATTCCCTGGCTTAGGCTCAAGACGTATGCCAACTTTCCAGAAGCACCTCAGGAGGAGGCTTCTCTCAGCAATAGGTAAGTGGGAGGGACCCCGAGTTTGCTGCCTCAAGGGGAATACACAGGGAGAAGCCCTAATGTGAACGGAGGCCAGATTTCCTTGCAGTGGGTTGAATACAGGCTCGTCTTTGATCTGAAAACATGAAGGAATGTCTGAATCCCCTGTGGAGACCTTAGAGGAAGCCCTAGGTCCCTGCCTCATTTTGACGGAATACCTCACATCCCCCTGACACCTCCAGAGGCACGCGGAGTTCATTGCTTCAAAAGGTGACGATGCCTGACTCCTCTTGAATACTGATAGGAATCCCAAAATCCCTGTGGCTACTGGAAAGGGTCCTTGGGTGCCCTGACTCACCTCGAGAAGCGTCCCTTTTGCCCTGCCAAGCCTCGAAGAGATTCCTGAGGTGTCCCTCGTTACTAGGCAGGAGTCCTGACGTCACTGGAGTAACTCGTGTTTTGAAGGGCCATCCCCGCCTTAAGTCGAGAACATACCCCAGGTGCCCGCCGCAACTCCAGAAAAACCGTGAGACTTCCCCCTAGAGGCGAGATGAGGCCCCATTCCCCTGCAGTGCATGCAGAGCTATTCCGTGATCCCCTTCAAACAAGTCAGGAGCTTCGACTTGCTTAATGGACCTCGAGACAGTCCCCAAGAACACTGTCACCAGTCTAGACGGACTCTGAGGTCACCCCATCAAAGCAAAGCAGCTCCATGTGCCCCAAATCAACTCGAGATGAGGCCGGATTCCCCTGCATTGACTCCAGAGCCATTCCCCGTTCCCCGTTCAACACGACCGGTGGCTCGCCTTCCTTCAGGCAACTCCAAAGATGCCCCGAGAACACTGTCCCAAGTCTAGAGGAACACCAACTTCAGCACAGCAACTCGAGGAATGCTCCGTGTACCCCAAATCATCTCGAGATGAGAGCTGATTCCCTGGCTTAGGCTCAAGACGTATGCCAACTTTCCAGAAGCACCTCAGGAGGAGGCTTCTCAGCAATAGGTATGTGGGAGGGACTCCGAGTATGCTGCCTCAAGGGGAATATACAGCGAGAAGCCCTAACTTGAAAGGAGTCCGGATTTCCAAGCAATAGATTGAATACAGGCTTGTCTTTCATCTCACAACTTGAAGGGATGTCTGAATCCCCTGTGGAGACCTTAGAGAAAGCCCTAGGTCCCTGCCTCATTTTGACGGAATGCCTCACATCCCGCTGACACCTCGAGAGGCACGCTGAGTTCATTGCTTCAAAAGGTGACGATGCCTGACTCCTCTTGAATACTGATAGGAATCCCAAAATCCCTGTGGCTACTGGAAAGGGTCCTTGGGTGCCCTGCCTCACCTCGAGAAGCGTCCCTTTTGCCCTGCCAAGCCTCGAAGAGATTCCTGAGGTGTCCCTCGTTACTAGACAGGAGTCCTGACGTCACTGAAGAAACTCGTGTTTTGAAGGGCCATCCCCGCCGTAAGTCGAGAACATACCCCAGGTCCCCGCCGCAACTCGAGAAAAACCATGAGACTCCCCCCTAGAGGCGAGATGAGGCCCCATTCCCCTGCAGTGCATGCAGAGCTATTCCGTGATCCCATTCAAACAAGTCAGGAGCTTCCACTTGCTTAATGGATCTCGAGACAGTCCCCAAGAACACTGTCACGAGTCTAGACGGATCCTGAGGTTACCCCAGCAACGCAAAGCTGCTCCATGTGCCCCAAATCAACTCGAGATGAGGCCCGATTCCCCTGCATTGACTCCAGAGGCATTCCCCGTTCCCCATTCAACAAGACCGGTGGCTCGACTTCCTTCAGGCAACTCCAGAGATGCCCAGAGAACACTTTCCCAAGTCTAGAGGAACACCAACTTCAGCACAGCAACTCGAGGAATGCTCCGTGTACCACAAATCGTCTCGAGATGAGAGCTGATTCCCTGGCTTAGGCTCAAGACGTATGCCAACTTTCCAGAAGCACCTCAGGAGGAGGCTTCTCAGCAATAGGTATGTGGGAGGGACTCCGAGTTTGCTGCCTCAAGGGGAATATACAGCGAGAAGCCCTAACTTGAAAGGAGTCCGGATTTCCATGCAATAGATTGAATACAGGCTTGTCTTTCATCTCACAACTTGAAGGGATGCCTGAATCCCCTGTGGAGACCTTAGAGAAAGCCCTAGGTCCCTGCCTCATTTTGACGGAATGCCTCACATCCCGCTGACACCTCGAGAGGCACGCGGAGTTCATTGCTTCAAAAGGTGACGATGCCTGACTCCTCTTGAATACTGATAGGAATCCCAAAATCCCTGTGGCTACTGGAAAGGGTCCTTGGGTGCCCTGCCTCACCTCGAGAAGCGTCCCTTTGGCCCTGCCAAGCCTCGAAGAGATTCCTGAGGTGTCCCTCGTTACTAGACAGGAGTCCTGACGTCACTGAAGAAACTCGTGTTTTGAAGGGCCATCCCCGCCGTAAGTCGAGAACATACCCCAGGTCCCCGCCGCAACTCGAGAAAAACCATGAGACTTCCCCCTAGAGGCGAGATGAGGCCCCATTCCCCTGCAGTGCATGCAGAGCTATTCCGTGATCCCATTCAAACAAGTCAGGAGCTTCGACTTGCTTAATGGATCTCGAGACAGTCCCCAAGAACACTGTCACCAGTCTAGACGGACCCTGAGGTCACCCCAGCAACGCAAAGCAGCTCCATGTGCCCCAAATCAACTCGAGATGAGGCCCGATTCCCCTGCATTGACTCCAGAGCCATTCCCCGTTCCCCATTCAACACGACCGGTGGCTCGACTTCCTTCAGGCAACTCCAGAGATGCCCCGAGAACACTGTCCCAAGTCTAGAGGAACACCAACTTCAGCACAGCAACTCGAGGAATGCTCCGTGTACCCCAAATCGTCTCGAGATGCGAGCTGATTCCCTGGCTTAGGCTCAAGACGTATGCCAACTTCCCAGAAGCACCTCAGGAGGAGGCTTCTCTCAGCAATAGGTATGTGGGAGGGACCCCGAGTTTGCTGCCTCAAGGGGAATATACAGCGAGAAGCCCTAACTTGAAAGGAGGCCGGATTTCCTTGCAGTGGCTTGAATACAGGCTCGTCTTTCATCTCACAACATGAAGGGATGTCTGAATCCCCTGTGGAGACCTTAGAGAAAGCCCTAGGTCCCTGCCTCATTTTGACGGAATGCCTCACATCCCGCTGACATCTCGAGAGGCACGCGGAGTTCATTGCTTCAAAAGGTGACGATACCTGACTCCTCTTGAATACTGATAGGAATCCCAAAATCCCTGTGGCTACTGGAAAGGGTCCTTGGGTGCCCTGCCTCACCTCGGGAAGCGTCCCTTTTGCCCTGCCAAGGCTCGAAGAGATTCCTGAGGTGTCCCTCGTTACTAGACAGGAGTCCTGACGTCACTGAAGAAACTCGTGTTTTGAAGGGCCATCCCCGCCGTAAGTCGAGAACATACCCCAGGTCCCCGCCGCAACTCGAGAAAAACCATGAGACTTCCCCCTAGAGGCGAGATGAGGCCCCATTCCCCTGCAGTGCATGCAGAGCTATTCCGTGACCCCATTCAAACAAGTCAGGAGCTTCGACTTGCTTAATGGATCTCGAGACAGTCCCCAAGAACACTGTCACCAGTCTAGACGGACCCTGAGGTCACCCCAGCAACGCAAAGCAGCTCCATGTGCCCCAAATCAACTCGAGATGAGGCCCGATTCCCCTGCATTGACTCCAGAGCCATTCCCCGTTCCCCATTCAACACGACCGGTGGCTCGACTTCCTTCAGGCAACTCCAGAGATGCCCCGAGAACACTGTCCCAAGTCTAGAGGAACACCAACTTCAGCACAGCAACTCGAGGAATGCTCCGTGTACCCCAAATCGTCTCGAGATGCGAGCTGATTCCCTGGCTTAGGCTCAAGACGTATGCCAACTTCCCAGAAGCACCTCAGGAGGAGGCTTCTCTCAGCAATAGGTATGTGGGAGGGACCCCGAGTTTGCTGCCTAAAGGGGAATATACAGCGAGAAGCCCTAACTTGAAAGGAGGCCAGATTTCCTTGCAGTGGCTTGAATACAGGCTCCTCTTTCATCTCACAACATGAAGGAATGTCTGAATCCCCTGTGGAGACCTTAGAGAAAGCCCTAGGTCCCTGCCTCATTTTGACGGAATGCCTCACATCCCGCTGACACCTCGAGAGGCACGCGGAGTTCATTGCTTCAAAAGGTGACGATGCCTGACTCCTCTTGAATACTGATAGGAATCCCAAAATCCCTGTGGCTACTGGAAAGCGTCCTTGGGTGCCCTGCCTCACCTCGAGAAGCGTCCCTTTGGCCCTGCCAAGCCTCGAAGAGATTCCTGAGGTGTCCCTCGTTACTAGACAGGAGTCCTGACGTCACTGAAGAAACTCGTGTTTTGAAGGGCCATCCCCGCCGTAAGTCGAGAACATACCCCAGGTCCCCGCCGCAACTCGAGAAAAACCATGAGACTTCCCACTAGAGGCGAGATGAGGCCCCATTCCCCTGCAGTGCATGCAGAGCTATTCCGTGATCCCATTCAAACAAGTCAGGAGCTTCGACTTGCTTAATGGATCTCGAGACAGTCCCCAAGAACACTGTCACCAGTCTAGACGGACCCTGAGGTCACCCCAGCAACGCAAAGCAGCTCCATGTGCCCCAAATCAACTCGAGATGAGGCCCGATTCCCCTGCATTGACTCCAGAGCCATTCCCCGTTCCACATTCAACACGACCGGTGGCTCGACTTCCTTCAGGCAACTCCAGAGATGCCCCGAGAACACTGTCCCAAGTCTAGAGGAACACCAACTTCAGCACAGCAACTCGAGGAATGCTCCGTCTACCCCAAATCGTCTCGAGATGCGAGCTGATTCCCTGGCTTAGGCTCAAGATGTATGCCAACTTCCCAGAAGCACCTCAGGAGGAGGCTTCTCTCAGCAATAGGTATGTGGGAGGGACCCCGAGTTTGCTGCCTCAAGGGGAATATACAGCGAGAAGCCCTAACTTGAAAGGAGGCCGGATTTCCTTGCAGTGGCTTGAATACAGGCTCGTCTTTCATCTCACAACATGAAGGGATGTCTGAATCCCCTGTGGAGAACTTAGAGAAAGCCCTAGGTCCCTGCCTCATTTTGACGGAATGCCTCACATCCCGCTGACACCTCGAGAGGCACGCGGAGCTCATTGCTTCAAAAGGTGACGATGCCTGACTCCTCTTGAATACTGATAGGAATCCCAAAATCCCTGTGGCTACTGGAAAGGGTCCTTGGGTGCCCTGCCTCACATCGGGAAGCGTCCCTTTTGCCCTGCCAAGCCTCGAAGAGATTCCTGAGGTGTCCCTCGTTACTAGACAGGAGTCCTGACGTCACTGAAGAAACTCGTGTTTTGAAGGGCCATCCCCGCCGTAAGTCGAGAACATACCCCAGGTCCCCGCCGCAACTCGAGAAAAACCATGAGACTTCCCCCTAGAGGCGAGATGAGGCCCCATTCCCCTGCAGTGCATGCAGAGCTATTCCGTGACCCCATTCAAACAAGTCAGGAGCTTCGACTTGCTTAATGGATCTCGAGACAGTCCCCAAGAACACTGTCACCAGTCTAGACGGACCCTGAGGTCACCCCAGCAACGCAAAGCAGCTCCATGTGCCCCAAATCAACTCTAGATGAGGCCCGATTCCCCTGCATTGACTCCAGAGCCATTCCCCGTTCCCCATTCAACACGACCGGTGGCTCGACTTCCTTCAGGCAACTCCAGAGATGCCCCGAGAACACTGTCCCAAGTCTAGAGGAACACCAACTTCAGCACAGCAACTCGAGGAATGCTCCGTGTACCCCAAATCGTCTCGAGATGCGAGCTGATTCCCTGGCTTAGGCTCAAGACGTATGCCAACTTCCCAGAAGCACCTCAGGAGGAGGCTTCTCTCAGCAATAGGTATGTGGGAGGGACCCCGAGTTTGCTGCCTCAAGGGGAATATACAGCGAGAAGCCCTAACTTGAAAGGAGGCCGGATTTCCTTGCAGTGGC